TTTGGGAAAAAAAATATTATTATAAATTTAAAATTTAAAAAACCTCCTACACAAATTAATTGTCATTTAACGATTTCACTGGCACGCGTGAAGCACTTAATCGAGTAATCATACGCCAAAATGCCTTACATCATTTTGAAAAAGAGCTGAAATCGCCAGAGCCGTTTCCGAGATACACAAAATTTTGTATAATACATACATCATATATACAAGAAACGCTCGTTTTATATTATATTATAATATGATAGTATTCTGTTGATGGATGTTTAAAAAATATTTAGGAAAATTCATGATCAACGAATCGATACCGAACAAAATCGATAACTAGCAACTAGAATCGTTTCCCGAAGCGGAAATACTTGGTTATGTCACTTAACCTAACCAAATAAAGGGTCACTGATAGTGTCACTTGATTTTGATTATCTACTCGTATATTAAACTGTTTTGCAATACGGGTTTGTATATAATGTACCTTCTTTTTTAGGACAAAGGATTAAAATATCTGGTTTCTTGTTACGTCTATACATATAATAAAATTGTAACTAAGCCGAATCTGTACATTAAATATTTTTGGAAAATCTTATTGAAATATAAACATTATTATTGATACAGAGGCCGAATCTATCGTTTTAAGAATTTTTGTCTGTCTGTCTATCTGTTATCACAGAAATACTACTGGAGGGATTTTGATAAAATTTGGTATGGTGATAGGGGATTATCCGGGTCAACATATAGGATACTTTTTACTGCGGAAAAATATCTCATTTCTGAGAAAAAATACAAAAACTGCAATGTAAGACTATATTAATATGTAAAACCTAAGAATTTGGTTTTTGGTCATCTGAACGCGGGCGGAACCGCGGACAGTGCTAGTTCTCTCTATAAATCCCTAAAGCAGTAAAATTTTGCTAAACAAATACAGCTTCTGTTAAATCTCTTAATAATATAAACAAAAGTCAGCTTAGTGAAATTCGTACTTTATTTTTACAGTAAATATTAGTTAAATTGTATTATTCTAAATCTTATAGAAAACTAGTGACTTAAAAGTAGCCTAAGTTACTCCTTATAACACCAGCTATCTCCAGTGAAAATCTTGTTAACATCAATCAGTTCAGCCGTTTCCAGGGTTAGCCGGACAGACAGGCAGACAAAGATTTTAAAAATTGTTTTTTTTTCTTATAAGTACCGTATACCTATACTTCCATATACATATAGTAAAAATTTGTTATTTTGACATTACAGACATCAATTTTATTGATTTGTATAGATTAGCGAAGTACACTTGCTTCGCTTGAGTACGTTCGTAAGGTAGTCCTTTTTTCTTTTCTCCCATGTGTTTCTCCGTGTTCTAGTCTGTGTACTGCGCCGCGTGAACAAGAAACATACAAACATACATACAAATTTTCTCGTTTCAATAGTAGTGAGATAAGAATATAGTGACCTTTTATCTTATTATCGACCAAAACAGTTTTTCCGTTGCTATGAAAGTGTGTGTCTTAAAAGAGTTTATTTAAGAACAAACGCGGACGCACGCAAAAAGTGAAAAAAAGTTACAGAAAATACAGTGAAATTTATGTTCCGTCTACACGATACAGACTTAGTATAGACAGACTTACGTAGATTTCTATAGAATTTTGTCTGTGCGACATAGTAGTGCAGGCAAATGTTATATGCATGAAAGTTGAAAGTACGCATGTATGTTGCGTATTATTTGAAGTCAAAAAATTTATCAGTAAAAAATTATTAATTAATAAAAAATTATTATGAAATTAATAGATTACCCGAGGCAAAAATTTCCTTAAAAATAAAAAGGTATGTGTACTTATGTACGTACACGTACATGGACGTAATATACTTGTGCGTGCAATAAATTTACGTGCTCGTAAAAAAATGTACTTCTTTGGTTTTAGCTTGGTTAAAATCAAACTTATTATTTGCGCGAACATTTTCACTCACACTTTTCGATCTGTACGACAAAAGTTTGTACTAAGTCTGTGTCGCGTGGACGCACCATTATTTTCGCACTCAATAGTTCAAGATTCATCTTAAAAGAAATCAAAACGTTTTCATGAAAATTACAAAATACTCTGATCTTATATAAACGCCGATCCTTAAAACGCTAATAATAAAATATTTTTCCAACAGATCAACGTTTTCTCACAAATTTTGTTTTTAGAATTGGCATCGAAGGAATAATCGAAGGCTCTTCATCCTTATTACTGAATTCCTAACATTGTAACTTCTTTTATAGTTGATAAGGCGAGAATTTTTTAATTTTTAAAGACGCTTGTCTTTAAAATCACACCTAAACATACGGGTACCAGGTCCAGGGCATAAGGGGCATAACGAAATAGGTTGCATTAGATTCCCATAGTAAAATTCGTTGTTGTCTAACAAATGATATGTATATATTTCTCAGAGATGAGATATTTTCCCACAGTAAAAAGTATAGTTGACCAGGAAAACCATCATCATCTATCATCTGCTATACCAAATAAAAAATATGTACCAAATTTCATCAAAATCTGTCTAGTGGTATTCTCGTAATGCGGTGACAGACAGACAGACAGACGGGCAGATAAACTGATAGGCAGACAAACATTCTAATAACTATAGATTCGGCCTCTGTATCGATAATAATGACTATTTCATCAAGATTTTCCAAAAAAATATTTAGGTGATGTACAGATTTGACTCAATTTTATTATATACATTCTTTCCGTTGCTCTCTTCAAAGATTACTATTTTTAATTACTTGTTTTCAAATATGCAAAATATTTATAAAAAACAAAAATACTAAAAGCGACTCGCTGAAATAGACGTTTCACAATCCAACAACGGTGTGCCCCAACACAACCCCAATCGTTTTTTTTTAATATTTTCATTGAAAACTTGTACAAAGAAAATAATATTTGATGATGTTCTCCTAGCCGATTCCGGCCACGGCGGCCAATCTCAATGAGATTAGCCAACTGCGCAGGAGATATTATAGTGCTCTAGTGTACACAGTCACAGACACAAGTGCACTCTCTATTCCTATCACTCTTATACTCCGATGGGACGACCACTAGACACGACCGGTGAGAGTTAAGGCGCAGGACCGACGGCTTTACGTGCTCTCCGAGGTGCGGGTGTGAAACACCGCCAACTTCCCAACTCCGGGCTGTTACTGAGACTTACTATACAGGAAGACTCAATAACTAAACTTGGCCCGACCCGGGACTCGAACTCAGGACCTCCGGGTGTGCAGCCGTACATGCTAGCCACTATACCACCGAGGCAGTTAACCGAATAATATTTATGGATCTTATAAAGAGTCCTTAGTACCAAAATATAGGAGCATCAGTTACCTTACCTACAGGCAGTGGTAGCCCAGTGGTAACGCGCTTGCTTGGGAAACCGAGCGAAGCGGGTTCAAATCCCAGGTCTCGCTCCTCAGATTTTTTCATGTGCAAATCATTTCTAGCATGATTACCACTTGCCTTACGGTGAAGGAAAAACATCGTGAGGAAACCTGCATGTCTGAGAGAACCTAGCAAGTTTTCAAAAGACATGTGAAGTCCGCCAACCCGCACATGGCCAGCGTGGTTGGACTATGGCTTGATCCCCCTCGTATTGAAGGGAGGCCCGTGCCCAGCAGTGGGACGTTAAAAAGGGCTGAATACACCAGTTACCTACTATGTCATACATAATTTCTTAATACATATTATAGTAATGTAAGAGAGATTTACAAGTTAGCATAAACCTTGATAACACTAATTCGTTTCACTTGCTATTTTTACGATCGCTTAATCTGTCATAAAAGTGCACTTATTAAGATTAGCACTTCATCTTAAGATATATTAGCAACTCCATTACAGTGTAGACTTCACATAGTCTAATGCTAATGCTACTAACACAGCATCATGTTTTAATTATTACTAGATACGTGTTTTTAGGTGAAACCTTAATTGTTTTTTTTAAATAAAAGTAGCCTAAGTAAATCTTTATAAAATCAGCTCTCTATCAGTGACAGTCCCATCAAAATTAGTCCAGCCGTTTCGGAGATTAGCCGAAATAAACAGACAGGCAGATAAAAATTAAAAAAAAAGTGTTTTACTTATACGTAACGTATATAATTACATATGCTTTTAATAAAAAAAACTTACTTTAACATTACAAACAGGCACTTTAATTTTATTGATTTGTACAGATTATGATTTCTCAGTGCTGTCTTTTCATCCATAAAAAATAAATTGTACCTATACATCTATACGTATTATAAAATTCTAACTGATTTGAATCTGTACATTAAATATTATTATCAATACTATAATAATGACTATTTTAATAAGATTTTCCAAAAATAGTTAATTGATAGCTTATGTTTAATTTAAGCTATTTAAATTTTAAACGTCACAAAAGTACGAGCCATTATACTTATACACGTAGTGAGAAGAAATAACAAACGCATTAATTTTCTCACAAACATTAATACTATTTTTTTATTACTATTATTAATATATATTTTTTTCTGAGCCTTATATTTTATTGTTAATTTATATGGGTTTACTCTTACATTTTTAGCTTTTTTATGGTTATCGAGATAAGAAACTTCTTAAGAAATAACCAAAAATAAGTTTCATCAAAATAAACCCAATAATCAAAAAGAAAAGCATTGTATAAACTGTACAGTAAAACCTACTCTTAAAAAAATTACAATATTGAATATACAGACATACTTTGTTTTATTTTATTTTAAGTACAGATACATAAACATTTTTATTTTTCTCTGATAGTATGAATAATACTGGCGTTTTTTGTTTCAGATTCTTCACATTAAAAAATTTATAATATTGTGAAAGAAGATCCATAAGAATTGAAGAAGAAACTCCTAAATTAGCATGAGAATCAGCCAATTCCAAACCATTAAAAGTAACCACCGGAAGTACCCTACCAAAAATGATAACAATTGTTTTCAACCATGATTTATGATGTCAATATAAATAGACTATAAAATTATGCCGAACGAATGGAACATTACTGAATCGATATACAATGAAAACAAAAGTCTTTTTGGAACAAATGATAATTTAACAAACGATGGCAACACCACCATACCAGATCCTATCGAAGATAAAGCCATACAAGCCGCTTTCTGTACGGTTTACACGATAATTTTCGTAGTAGGCATCTTCGGTAATGCTCTTGTTTGCTATGCGGTAATCAGAAACCGAGCGATGCAAACTGTCACTAATCTGTTCATCACGAATCTTGCCTTGTCGGACATATTGTTATGCGTATTTGCCGTACCATTTACTCCTCTATACACTTTTCTAGGAAGATGGGTCTTTGGCGGTCCTTTATGCCATATTATGCCTTACGCTCAAGGCTGTAGCGTTTATATTTCAACTCTAACACTAACATCAATAGCCATCGATAGATTTTTTGTTATAATTTATCCATTCAAGCCTAGAATGAAAATACAAACTTGTATCGGACTCATTGTTTTTATTTGGGTGTTTGCCTTATCAGTAACTTTCCCCTACGGCTATTATATGTCCTTACAAGATGTGTTTTGTGCGGAAAAATGGCCTTCGGATCAAATCCGTAAAGCCTTTGGAGCTGTAACAACAATCATGCAATTTGTGATACCATTTATAGTCATGGCATTTTGCTACACATGTGTTAGTGTAAAATTAAATGATCGCTTAAAATCTAGGCCCGGTAGTAAGAATAGTAAAAAAGAAGACGCAGAAAGAGAAAGAAAGAGAAGAACTAACAGAATGCTTATAGCAATGGTAGCAATATTTGGCCTATCGTGGCTGCCATTAAATTTGATAAACATAAGTAGTGACTTTTACTCTTTAGCTGAAGATTGGAGGTACTATATGGTACTATTTTTCGTAGCACATTTTATTGCAATGTCTTCCACGTGCTACAACCCCTTCCTCTATGCGTGGCTGAATGAGAACTTCAGAAAAGAGTTCAAACAAATACTCCCATGTCTAGGAGCCTTTGTGACTAAAAAACCGAAACGTAATTTCAACCAATCTGAAAGAACAGGTATGTACCGCTCAGAAAAAACATGTAATGGAAATGATACAATACAAGAGTCTCTTCTAACATCCACTGTAACAAAACCATCTGTTAGATATAAAATAGAGTTTAATGATAAAGTGAAAATGTATGAGGACGATGTAGATAATATAAGTCCTGATGAGAAACCGGAAGACAATCCTAGTCCGAATGAAGACTGTGTAAAAATGTACATGTTTGTAAATAAATCTACTATATCTTCGGATAAGGAGCCAATTGTGTCTGCGCTTTAATGTAGTAGTAAGTTATTATTTTATTTGCTGTATTTTAAGTGTTAGTTTAAGAGTATATTTATATTTTATGGCCAAGCGATCCTACAGTATCTTACTAGTGCGAGAGTAGGGCTAGGCTGGCAATTTCTGTTTTGACTGCCGAAAATATTTCAAAACGACATGTAAAAAAATGGGTAAGGAGAATTATATGTTTTGAATGCATGTGCTGCGAATGTACCTATATTATATATATATATATATATATATATATATATATATATATATATATATATATATATATATATATATATAGTTACAAAGACACCTAGGAACGCAGCCGAGCAATGCGAGAGTATATAACTAGTCATGAAATATTTTGATCTTATACACATTAACGTAACTTGTCTTACGGTGACGAAAAACATCGTGAGGAGACCTGCATGTCAAGTTTTAGAAAGACATGTGAAGTCCGCCAACCCGCGCTTGGCCAGCGTGGTAGACTATGGCCTAATCCCTCTCGTATTTAAGGAAGGCCCGTGCCCAGCAGTGGGACATTAAAAAGGGCATATATTTCATATTTTATTTTTCTTTATACTAATTTTGTCTTTGTTACTTTCATTTAAATCATATCAATTACATCGACGTCTACTTCTTAGCATTAAACACTTGTAAAAAAATGCAAATGTAATATGCAATTAAGATAGATAATAAAAATTCTTATAAATAAACTAAATATTTAAATATATAAGCTCGATTTATTTATTGCATATAATCGCTTCGTAAGTAAAGATAAAATTATCAAAGTGACACAATCTTATATTAGATTTTATAATATTTAAATAAGTTTTACTTCTTCTTAAAGGAGAAATTTAATTAAATTATATTTATTTTTACTTTCTGCGAGTAAATAGCAATTTATATATTTGTTTTATTAAAATATACAGATAGTGCCGTCTTCTGGTGGTTTTTTTTAGTAGCCTGAATTATTTTCGGTCATATAATAATTTAACAAACGATGGCAACACCACCATTAAATATAAATTCTATATTCATTTTCATTCATTTTTTATTTAATTAAATTAAATATAGTCTATCTGTGTACATTCATACACGGACACACACATAAAACATACTCAAATACACACACATACACAATACACATATATACTTTCGTATTTTATTTTTAAAAATATAATATCAACATTATAAGCAGGTTATGGACACGAAAAAAACGGCCTGTATCAAACAGGCCGTCTACGATTCTGATTCGGAGGAACAGGATAACAAGATAATGTTCTATCCCGAGTGAGAAGTATAGAGCTATAGATTCTCAACGTATTTAAGAACCAAAACAGTTTTTAATTCACTATAAATTAATTAAACAACCAATCGAAAAATGAAATTCAGTATCTGAAAAAATACTTCTAGGCTTCTTGACAAAACAGAAATCCTACAAAAATAGTGAGCTGTTTCTGAGATAAATAGCAGTATATGTGCAAAACAGGTATTTTTAACAAAAAATATTACCGAGAAAATTTTCACCAATCGTGTTTTCTAATTTGGCAATTCATAATTAAAGTCAGAAGCATCATTTCACTAACTATCAAAGTGGTAACTTTTACAGATTCTGAGATAAATAATGATGTCTAGAATAAAATTGCCATATGCAATTAAATATTATTATCCTAAAAAGTATATCAGATACATATGTATTATGTAAAAAATATAACACGTACAGATAATCTACAAACGATTGATAAAAATAGCGTGAAACATAAATTTTTATTATAACACACAATTTATCGTTTATAATAAATATAAAATGCTCGTCATTTTGTACGAGTCGAACTAGATGAAGTTTTAATAATAGGTACATCATCTCCACTATAATGAAATATCATTGGAAATTCAATTACGTAAAGTGTTCTTGAATAGCAATGTTTATTTCATTTAAATCAATTTTGGATACTAGTGTTCGTACAGTAGTCTACCATAATCTTTATTGAAAGTTTATCTATATCTATTTTCTATAAATATTAAAAATTGTAGAAGTCGAATGTCTGTACATAGGAAAAAATGCTAAAAACCGAGTCAGGGGAATATAAGAAGAGAATTAGAAAAATTCAGTTTTTTTTGTTTTTTTTTTTGTTTTTTTGTTTGTTTGTTTATTTGAACGGGATAATCTTCGAAACTGTTGAACCAATTTAAATGAAATTTTGCATGGTGGTATCTTATATCCCCGGTCAACATTTTAGATACTTTTCATTCCGGAAAACTAAAGAGTTCCCGTTGGATAGATATGTTTTTGGTTTTTAGTAAATAATAATGACAAAAACCTTACATAGGTTTTCATGCGTTAAGTTTAATAATATTACATTTACTAAAAACAATATTCCAACTTCAGAAGAGAATACTTTTTAAAATATACTTAAATTCATACATACTTATTTACTAAAAAAGATTATCAAATTTATTTTACATTTCGTGTCTTATGTGCTATTCCAAACTATAATCTATGTCTGTGCAAAATTTCATCCAGATCCGTTCAGCCGTTCTGGCGTGATTGAGTAACAAACATCCAAACATTCATCTAAGTTTTCACATTTTTAATATCTATCTTTTTAAGAAGGACTAAATAAAAAGCAAGTCTCTTATCTGAATAAAAAGTACTCTATAACATATATATTTATGCAAAAACAACACTACAATATACAAACAAGAACACTATGATAATATCTATACATATAATAAAATTCTAACTAAGCCGAATCTGTACATTAAATATTTTTTTGAAAATCTTATCAAAATAGACATTATTATCGATACAGAGGCCGAATCTATAGTTTTTAGAATTTTGTCTGTCTGTCTGTTACCGTATCACTGAAAAACCACTGGAGGGATTTTGATGAAATTTGGTACTGTGATAGCTGGTTATCCGGGTCAACATATAGGATACTTTTTACCGAAAAAATACAAAAGCTACAATGTACTGTATACCTACTAATATGTAAAACCTAAGAATTTGGTTTTTGGTCATCTATACGCGGGCGGAGCCGCGGGCAATGCTAGTTATTAAATATAGTTTATACTTATTTGTTCATTTGCCAACTATGTAATAATTCGAAACATCTGTTTTAATTGTTCTGAAATTATCTGTAATTTTTATTTTATTAAATAAGTACCAACAATATATAATATATTATTTATTATTGGGGTTCCATAACTAAATAAGTAAGTAAAACTAACTAAAACGGACATCTTATAATTTCGCCGTGTCCGGGTGTCCGTCTATCTATTTGTCTATATGTCACAGATGTTCTATATGAAGGATGAAAAACAAATTTTAAATCACAATAGCGTGTTGGGTACCTCTGGTTAGGCCTTTATCTATATATCTATACATATAATAAAATATACATTTTTTTTAAATCTTATTGAAATAGTAATTATTATCAAAACAGAGGCTGAATCTATAGTTTTTATAACTAACGTAACAAATTATTATATTAAAATATTATATAAAATTAAAATTTCGCATCCTACGGAACCCTCGGTGTGAGTCAGACTCGCACCGGTCCGATTTTAGAAGGTCGTGCGCATGCGCAACAGTTCGCTAATAAAAATAAAAAATAGTACGTAATCTTAATAACATAATCTACTCGCTTATGAAACTCATGTACAAGTCATATTTTATATGACGCCGTTGGACTTGCAAACAAAACGCTCACGTCTTGTGACGTCATTGTCTTTACTTTCAACTACTGTTTTTTAATAATTATTACAATTTAAGGTTAAAAAATGGTGTACACGGTTTCAAATACCCGATTGGTCTAGTGGCTACCTTATACAAGACCTGGGTTCGAATTCCGGGTCGGTCCAAGTGTACTGAATTTTTCTGTTAGAAAATTCTCTGTAGCAGTCCTGCGCATAATTCTAATTGCTATATTGCTTTAAGACTTAATAATTAATCAAAATAACATAAAATCAGAATATTTGACATAATGTACCACCATCATCTGAAGAATGGGTAGTGGAACTCTTCAATGGCTATTAAACTTTCAAGTTTGGTTTCATTTGATTCGATTCAATAAACTCCATACATAACAACGGGGCAAGGTATTTTTGATTGTAATTTTTATTTGTATCTTTTTGCTATTTACTTTGTGGTAGGTCCATGTAAAATCTATTTATACAATAGATAAACCAACAAACATACTTTTTAGGTCTAATATAAATAATAATAGCAAGGATTTATTAATTACATACTTCATATTTATAAAAAAAATCATTTATGAGCTGTTGCTAAAGGCTATATTTTTACTACTGAACTGAATCTATAACGCATACAAAATTATTTCATAGGCGGTATATTATCATAATTTATCACTTACTATATTTTCATTACATACACTATAGTGAATACACTATAATCTGTTTGTTTGGCATATTGTGGTTATTTAATTTATTTAAATCTTATATTTTCCCGTTTCTGTTTTATATTTGAGACGTCTTCTTTTAACATAGAAAAAACGCACTTTTAAAAGGGTAGAAGCTTTACTCAGGAAACTGTCCACAAAAGATAAAAAGTACGATACAGTCACTACATAACGCAAAGTGTACTGTTTTACACTGAGAGAAGTAAGTGATGTCTGTGGAAACTAAAGACTTACTTTAGCTTTGCGAATGGGTTTTTAGGTGCCTTTTGTATGATATAATATATAGGCAACGCCATCTTTTGACAAATGTTATTGTTAGCAAACGAGTATGTGTTGCTCTAGAGTCTAGATTATATAGTAGGGGAGCCAGTGGTATGGTGGTATGAGTAAATGCATTTCCCAAAATTAGAAAAAAGGTATATCTGTGTAGTGATCCTGCGACGCCCCATAAAGACGTGGGAGGTTCTGTTCTGTTTCAGTGGGTAGTAATGGCTTTTCTACCTGGTGAATCTCACATAACCGCCTGTATGTATGCAGGTGGTATGTGTAAATGCATTTCCCAATGTTAAAAAAATATATCTG